CCTATATAAACCAGAATTGTTAGCTAAAGGCCGAGTAGGGTTAAGCATTGCAAAGCAATCCATAGTCTCCCACCAGTAATGATTTCTTTATTCACCCAGCTGTATAAAAACTTTCTGTATTTCCCAATGACAAAACATACTCGCAAACCAAGTCTTGTTAGCCCAGATGAACCAGTTTTGCTGAAACCGTCAAACATGTAGTAGTTAAGGAAGTGTTGCCAGGACAAAGATTTCAAACAAAGGGCCATAAATCCTTCAAAAAAGGATGAAATGCGACCCTAGTGCAGGACATCAGGGGGTAATTACCATATATGTAAACTTTCATTGAAATCAGACCAGCAGTTTAAGAGACAAAGGTTTTTTTCAACAAAGGACCATAACTCCTTTTAAAAGGGTTGGAATGAAAAAAGTACTACTTGGATGCACAACATCAGGGGGCAGTTACCATATCTGTAAACTTTAAAATTGGCCGAGTTGATTAGGAAAAGTTGTCAGGACAAGGATTTTTCACAAAAGGGGCCATAACACCATAAAAAGGGTTGGAAAAAAATACCTGGATGCACAACATCAAGGGGTAGGTATCATATCTGAAAAATTTCGTTGAAATAGGCCCAGTAGTTTTGGAGGAGTTGTCCCGACAAGGATTTTTCAACAAAGGGCCACAACTTTGTAGATAAAGGTCAGAATGAAAAAAGAATACCTGGATGCACAACTGCAGGTGGAGTTATCATGTCTGAAAAGTTTCGTTGAAATCAATCCATAACTCAAGAAAAAGTTATCCGGACAAAACGTTTTAGGATTTGTTCAACAAAAGGCCATAACTTCGTCAAAAAGGGTCAGAATAAAACAAATAGTACCTGAATGCACAACTTCAGGTGGTAGTTATCATACCTGGAATATTCGTTGAAATTGGCCCATTTCTTTAGAAGGAGCTCGAGTTGTCTGGACAAACTTAGGGACAGACATACTGATTCCAGTATACTCCCCTAACTTTGTTGTTGGGGTATAATAACATGTCTAATCACGGACTTAGATATCTAATCTAATTCCGTGGTCTAACTTGCTTACTCAAGTGAAATAACAATTACATGACTGACCTGTTGAGGGTATGTAAAAGAGTAACATTAATTCATTTTCAAAATTACTTTGTCTCTCAGAGCTATTAATATATTTACATTGGCATGCCTTTTCCAAATAAGGGGCGGGGACCAGTGATTGTTAAGGCTCAACATTATCCAAACTATAAGTGTGCTGGTCAACATGTAACACCACCACAACTATTGTGCCCTTTTTTATTTTTTTGCATAATGACAAGATACATAACTCACCTGAAGAGACCGAGATATAAAATATTGATAAAAAAAACTCTTTTGATAATTGATTTAATACAACGTAATCCGTATCAACATAGAACGTAATCCGTATCAACTAAAATTGAGCATGTTCGTAATCCGTATCACAAGTATTAAATAGCAGTTTATGCACAAATTTCATGTCCATGTGATAAATTAATATATTCAATAATAATAGTATTATTCGTTCTATTATTGTAGCTATTTACTCCCATTTCAATGACACGGGGAGTCGTTTTATTCATCTTTATATCAAATACACGTAGATTTGTGTATTACGTCAGAATAATTAAATTATTAAATCTACTATGACACGTGTATGTGATAGTATCTATACCTTCAACAGGCTTTTTTTGTAATCATTGTTTCAACTTTGTTGCTTATATCACATCATTATACTTACGTAATCTTGTAATTTGCCGCAACACTCTTCCAATCGTGGGAGATTTTTTCTCTGCCGTAAACCGTATTTGGTGCAAAACTAACTTTTTCTTCCGACGTTATCCAAACGGCGAGTGTTACTCGGGATTACCCCCGTGTACACCAAACAGCCGTTTCGTCCTCCGAGGACTTGGGGGTGATGCTAAGGGCCAAAAAAGTGAAAATCCAATGTGGTCTACAAGTCCTTTATGCAAATTTTCAAAGTGCTTCTGAGAATTATCTAAATGAATATATTTCTGTAATTTTTATCAACTTTTATTTTCAATTTCAATCCTTATTAGGTTTGCTCAATCATTGACTTAAATTGCAAACCTAAATCCGCGACTCAATTAATAAATTATCAAGTTTTGCATTAAGTTATGGTTAAGTTAATCGACAACTTGGCGCCCAGATAACTCAAAGTGCAGTGAAAGTTAGTTATATTGTTCTTTGTTTTTGTCTATTGTCTTTTGGTTGTGGTGACGAGCAATGATGAATCTCCTCGTAAGTAAAAAAGAGAATCTCTCTCCCCTCAGTGCCGAGTACAGTAAGAGAGAAAAATAGATTTCGATTGTAATCGGGAGACATAATAGAGCTACTCAAAATCATGACGGAAATATGATACTGAGGTGTCTACATTTATTTCGCCTTTCAGCAGTACCATCACCACGAGGGGACATGGACTGGCGCTTTATGGGAAAACGGTCCAAGAAGTTATTAATTTCTCTAATTACTCTAGAGTTCGAATAGAGAGTTTTGGTTTGGAAATAATCAACTTGCTATCGATATAGTCATCTGTCCGAATGCAAGCTAGGTAGACAGAAATAGTAATCTCCCTTAGTTAATGAAAACTAAGGTTAATGCAGCTGTACAAAACGACTTGACTGGCAAATTGATTATAAATTCACGTCACGGCAAATTAATTCCATATTGAGATCAAAGTTTCAACAACGTTTTAATGTGTAAATGAGAAAGACTACCTACATGATCAGTATCAACCAAGGGTCCAATATTACTATGACACATCGCCTCCTCATAAGTAACAAAAGAAAGGTGATTGTTGAAGTTTCCCGCCGGAAAACGAAGCACCAAAAAACGCTGTCAAACATCCCAAAAACGGTGATTTCGCTCAAAGGTATTTACATGTAGGTTTATTGTGACACTGCGAACAGAACAGTTTTCCGTCAGCCATATTTACGACTGCGAGGTTAGTTTTGGGTACCTTTGTAACGGAAGCTATTACAGATACAGATGCACAGATTTTATTCTGACAATGTTTACATTTTTAGGTCACCTGAGCTTTAGCTCAAGTGACCTATTGCTATCCGTTTTCGTCCGTCGTCGTCCGTCGTCCGTTAACATTTTACATTTCAAACTTAAAGTCAAGTTCTGCTGGGCCGATTGAACTGAAAGTTGGTAGGAATGATCGCCTCATGGTCCTGACAAAGTGTTGTTATTTTTCGGGTCGATCAGAAATCCAATATGGCCGCCACGGCCGCCATTTTGAAAACCTATTTCAAACTTAAAGTCAAGTTCTGCTGGACCGATTGAACTGAAAGTTGGTAGGAATGATCGCCTCATGGTCCTGACAAAGTGTTGTTATTTTTCGGGTCGATCAGAAATCCAATATGGCCGCCACGGCCGCCATTTTGAAAACCTATTTCAAACTTAAAGTCAAGTTCTGCTGGACCGATTGAACTGAAAGTTGGTAGGAATGATCGCCTCATGGTCCTGACAAAGTGTTGTTATTTTTCGGGTCGATCAGAAATCCAATATGGCCGCCACGGCCGCCATTTTGAAAACCTATTTCAAACTTAAAGTCAAGTTCTGCTGGACCGATTGAACTGAAAGTTGGTAGGAATGATCGCCTCATGGTCCTGACAAAGTGTTGTTATTTTTCGGGTCGATCAGAAATCCAATATGGCCGCCACGGCCGCCATTTTGAAAACCTATTTCAAACTTAAAGTCAAGTTCTGCTGGACCGATTGAACTGAAAGTTTGTAGGAATGATCGACTCATGGTCCTGACAAAGTGTTGTTATTTTTCGGGTCGATCAGAAATCCAATATGGCCGCCACGGCCGCCATTTTGAAAAACTATTTCAAACTTAAAGTCAAGTTCTGCTAGGCCGATTGAACTGAAACTTTGTAGGAATGATCGCCTCATGGTCCTGACAAAGTGTTGTTATTTTTCGGGTCGATCAGAAATCCAATATGGCCGCCACAGCTGCCATTTTGAATAACTATTTCAAACTTAAAGTAAAGTTCTACTTGGCCGATTGAACTGAAACTTTATAGGAATGATCGAATCATGGTCCTGACAAAGTTTCGGGTCAATCAGAAATACAATTCGGCTGCCATGGCCGCCATTTTGTAAATACCTATTTCAAACTTAAAAACAAGTTCTAATAGGCCGATCTCACTGAAAATCGGTCTAGGAATGATCAGCTCATGGTCCTGACAAAGTTAAGTTAACATTATACTCAACTATTTTTTACTCAAATTAGTACATATTTCAACAACAAAAATAAATACTGTAGGACTCAGGTGACCGTTAAGGCCCATGGGCCTCTTGTTACATTTCCTCTGCCGTCAGCTCTATTATATAAATAAAAGTTAGTTGATATTATTGGTGATTACATGATTTATGATTATTTTTGAAAGTCCATTGCTGATAATGTCACAGCTCTGTTATTATAAGTTCATAAATTAACAACTATCTGTACATTGTATTGTATTTTAGGTACATAGTAGAAGTTATAGTAGTTCAAATTTAATGTTGGTATACTATGTTGTTATATGAGTGTTGAATTCTTGTTAATTAAATTATTGTGGCCTCAATAGGTTTTTTGTTTTGTTTTAAACATATTTCTTTTGTAATTCATATACAATGGGAGTTGGCCACACGTTGAACAACTTATATTAAGCCCTTTCCCTACAATATATTACTGCAAATTTTCAACATGGCATATTACAGATAAATTTACATTGTCTTTAATTGAGAGAGAGACAGAGACAGAGAGGTGGCGAAGAGAGACACAGAGAGGGGAGAAAGAGAGAGAGGTCAATAGGTTCCATGCGGTTATAGAGAAGTGGCTGATTCTTCCAATTCTTCCAAACAGATTGGCGTGGTCTGGAATCGGTACATCACTTGTTTGCCAAACTAATTCAAATTTTCCCTCTGAGGACCAGACCTTGCATCGCATTAGGTATGCTTGGTTTATCATCGCTTCATTTATATGTAGATCAATGTAAGCTTCGTTTTGTTGCGGCATTATGTAGAACCAAATCTAATTGTGCATCTTAACAACTGTTTTTATTGCGATTGTATCAAAAACGTGTTGGTGTACATAAAGCTAAATAGGGGTGTATTGTTGATGCATTTGACATACTTTACAAGTACAGCTTTCATGGTTTTTTTTAATGAATTCTTTAAGTCGGGTAATTTTTCTCCAAAGTACCGCTGAAACATCTAGTTAAAAATGTTCTTCTTTGTAAAGAATCAGATGACTGGAAAAACTCGTTTAGATAATTCGCCTTATTTTTCGAGATTCAAAAATCTTCATCCTGAAATGAAACCTTCAGTGATCTGGTACTTTTCAAAATGTCATCCTTCTTTTATTGGAACTTGCAAAGCTTGCAATGATCATGTGAAGCTAGGCTTCAAGAAATTTTCTCGGATTGTATCTGTATGGATTTTAACAATTTCTGCAATATCCGACCTGACACTTCTATGGTCCATCGTTGATATCTGAAAGATTTAAACGTGTCTGTGTAAGACAGACTGGGTACAAATGTTAACGTGCTGGCATTGTAGTCCTTCGTTACATATCTTTAATGACTATTTGATATTTTTATTGATTCCGGACATCTGCAGAGGTCCTCAAATGTGAATTTCCAATACGTTCCTTTTTAATACTACGTTGAGAGATCACGTATTTTCTGGCCTTAGGTAAATGCTTAGGTACTTGGTACATCAGTCAAGTGCTTGTCCAATGACAATCCTTGGTATAAAATCGTTTCGTCATCTGCGATCATTTTATTCTGTTCACAAGTACTTTGGGTATATCGTTCACGCAAATCAAAAACAGCGCAGGTCCTATGACACGTCCTGGGATCCTACTTGTGACAGGTTTTTCGATTCACGACCAGTAATGAACAATTTTTGTTTCATATTATGCAAGAAATGTTCTATTCACTCCGATATGTTCCTGGCCATTATTGTGCAACCTGTAATTGACTGGGAAAATGTCATCAAAGTTTTTTAATGTGTTTTGAAGTCCGGGTATAACTATAGCAGGCTTTGTACAATATATACATGTATATCGATATACGACCTTCCACTTCAGAACCCGTGTTGTTCATGGACAAATAAATTGTCGATATTCATGTATTGTACCCCTGGTGGTCCGATGAAGTAGTAGTTTTCCTATAATCGATTTAATACTAAATGGTCTGTAGTTATATAATTTAGTTTGAATTGTTTCTTGCTTTGACTATTTTTTTGAGAGGTTTTGTGTTTGATGATGACCTGCTTTAATTTTTTTCATTTATATCTTTATATAGTATCTTGTTTTATGTCGACTGTACACCTATTGTACAGATGTACAGACTGTACACCTATTGTATAATGGAACGTACACTTGTATGTTGCATTGTCCGACTACCTCAATTATAAAATGATATATAATATATAACCAGATCCACTATCATAATCTAGCCTCCCCAAACCCCGAATTAAACGTCTACTGCCAGTGAAACAGTCAGCACTACATGTACACCCCACTAACAATAATAACCATGCAGTTCTCTGGTACCTATCCATGTACCCACCTTTATTTTTCCTTTCCATCGCAGTTTTTTTTCTCCCTTTTCCCCCTCGTCCACTGGTCTTTCTGTGTGAGGTTGCTGTAAATTTAAGTTTAATTTTCATATGACATTTGTATATAGTTTGAGGAAACGTAAAGTTCAATTTCGCCTATTCTTGGTCTTGAGCAAGTCTATGAAAATGGGTCAGTCTACTTTCATTTTGTGATCACGTGTGGGAACGAAGTAGCCGGAAGTGGTCGTACATAACATGTACAGTTGGCAACATGATAGACGGTTACAGCGCTACCGTCCAGACAATTCTGGGTACGTTGTTTACATGGGGACTCACAGCAGCTGGAGCAGGACTGGTTTTTGTATTTCAGAGCAATCAGGTACGTTCTTTTGTCTGAAATCGACACAGGTGTGTTTGCCCTATGCCGTACAGGTGTGTGTATGCCAGGTGTGTTTGCCCTATGCCGTACAGGTGTGTGTATGCCGTACGGGTGTGCGTATGTGCAATAGCGTTACGTAACTTTTACTGCTACTCTGGACAATGCCACAAAACACAAAATCGTCTTATTTGTACTTTGCCAGGGACATAATTGTTTTTCAAATTTGCAACGTCGATCTGGTGTTCGATAAAGGTGTATGAGGTGTAGCGGATCTCACGTAAGTTGTGAGAAGTTGTGTGTTATAGTTTAGTATCTACAGCAGCGTTTACGTCCCTTGCTTCTCATTATCACGTGGACGGTGGTAGAATCGATACATTCATGTGTTCGTGTACATATATTGAAGGCTAGAATAAACAAAAGTTAAGGCATAAGTTGTGCGTGTTTGGTACATATAGTTTTAAGGTTGTTGCAATATAGATTTTTTTATTCTTTATAATAAAAAAAATGAAAAATAAAAAAGTTTTAACTAAATGTACTTACTTGTAGACTGTATTTTTTAAGAGCTGAAAACAGAAACACTACGTTTATTTTGTTTGACCTAAAGAAAGTAAGTTGCTGTGTGATTGTATATAGTACATACTAGTCCAAATTGGGTGATAATATATAGTACAGACTAGTCCAAATTGGGTGATTTATATATAGATGCATACACCAAAACAGGCAGGAACATTCACAAATTAAATCTGGTTTTATATGAACTTCATTTGAATTTGTTACAGAGAAAAGTGTTGGATGCCAGTCTGGGGTTTGCTGCTGGTGTAAGTAGTAATGCTATAGTCTTTACTCAAATATTTTCTTCTTTAGGCAATAAGAATGATTTATTTGTACAATGGTTTTTTTAGCCTAAAATCAATATATCATACATGTATACTGAATAAGGCCCCATTGAAGGTCACTGTATGAGGGCCTGGTGGGAGATAAGTTTTGTATCACACCCTCTCTGAATATCAAAAACTGGGAGAATTGTCAAATTGATAACACAATTTATTATTATTGAGCATTATAAATTTCTACATGTATAATAATGGTAGAAAAGATATATATTTTAAATTCCTACAATCATTATTTTAGTGTCTCTAACACCTGTGACCTCCACATCAAGGTCTCCGAGTTGGATCCAATATTCAGCATTGCTTGTGAAATGTTGATTTAATGTGACACATTAATTTCATGATCAACAACAAATTTTCATAATTATCTTTTGCAAGTAAGGATCAATTTAGTAGATTCCAAAATAACAGATTAACAGATATGTATGCTGTTCAAATATCGCAAAATTTAAAGGCCTACATTGGTTGTGTCATTAATTTTAGAGTCATGTTACAAAACTTGGGGTAACCAGGTGTGTTAAAAAGATCTTGTTCATGTACATGTAAGAAAAACAACACTTAAGTCAAATTTTCATCAGGTAGAAATGGGTTGTGTCCAAAATTCATTCAGTCATGTCACAAATCACAAGGTCATATCACACACCCTGGGTAAATTAAAAAAAAACTGGGGCTGGTAGGATTTGCCAGTAGTGTTGGGTGGTGATTTAGTTTGCCTTTGGCATGGTATTTACGAGAGGTACTACTTTTCAAAGTCGACATCAGATCTTTGATATCACATTGAGTCAAATACACCAAGATACCACCTTCAGCACACATGCATACATTAACTGTACAGAGGCAAACCATTAAATGATCTAAGCTGTTATTAGGACGCTAAACAAAATAAATACCCCTAGTAGACCTGGTGAGGTTTACCACATTTACCAACACAAATCATCCCAGTATGACTTATAATTCTATAATTCTCTTGTTGTCTTCCAGGTGATGACAGCTGCGTCCTACTGGTCACTTCTTGCCCCCGCTATAGAAATGGCTGAACGTTCTGGTCTGTATGGAGAACAGGGACAGTGGTCCTTCATTCCTGTTAGCATAGGATTTATACTAGGAGCCGTGTTTGTGTATGGTGCTGACGTTCTCATGCCTTACTTGGTGAGTATCTTTTGTAGGAGGGACATTTCCTGTAATTAACAGTTTTACTGATGGATTTCTATCAGGAATGTTTGTTGCTGAGTTTGAGGCTACATTTGTGTGTGATTGTGTTTCAGGGAGCCAACAGTTCCAACCTCATTGTGACACTAGAAGCAGCTTCATCCAAAGTAGAGAAGGAGGATAATGTACAGATAGATTTTGTTAACCAAAATAATTACACATCTAGTAAGTATAAAGTAGAGAAGGAGGATAATGTACAGATATATTTAGTTAATCAAACTAATAACACATCTAGTAAGTATAAAGTAGAAGAGGGTAATGTACAGACAGATTTAGTTAACCAAACTAATTACACATCTAGTAATTATATAAAGTAGAGAAGGAGGATAATGTACGGATAGATTTAGTTAATCAAACTAATTACACATCTAGTAATGATAAAAGTAGAGAAGGAGGATAATGTACAGATAGATTTAGTTAATCAAACTAATTACCCATCTAGTAATGATAAAAGTAGAGAAGGAGGATAATGTACAGATATATTTAGTTAATCAAACTAATTACACCTCTAGTAATGATAAAAGTAGAGAAGGAGGATAATGTACGGATAGATTTAGTTAATCAAACTGATTACACATCTAGTAATGATAAAAGTAGAAGAGGATAATGTACAGAAAGATTTAGTTAACCAAACTAATTACACATCTAGTAAGTATATAAAGTAGAGAAGGAGACTAATGTACAGATAGATTTAGTTAATCAAACTAATTACACATCTAGTAATGATAAAAGTAGAAGAGGATAATGTACAGATAGATTTAGTTAACCAAACTAATTACACATCTAGTAAGTATAAAAAGTAGAGAAGGAGGATAATGTACAGATAGATTTAGTTAATCAAACTAATTACACATCTAGTAAGTATAAAGTAGAGAAGGAGGATAATGTACAGATAGATTTAGTTAACCAAACTAATTACACATCTAGTAAGTATATAAAGTAGAGAAGGAGGATAATGTACAGATAGATTTAGTTAATCAAACTAATTACACATCTAGTAAGTATAAAGTAGAGAAGGAGGATAATGTACAGATAGATTTTGTTAACCAAACTAATTACACATCTAGTAAGTATAAAGTAGAAGGAGGATAATGTACAGATAGATTTAGTTAATCAAACTAATTACACATCTAGTAAGTATAAAGTAGAAGGAGGATAATGTACAGATAGATTTAGTTAACCAAACTAATTACACATTTAGTAATTATAAAGTAGAGAAAGAGTATAATGTAAAGATAGATTTAGTTAATCAAACAAATTATGCATCTAGTAATGATAAAGTAGAGAAGGAGGATAATGTACAGATAGATTTAGTTAACAAAACTAATTACACATTTAGTAATTATAAAGTAGAGAAGGAGGATAATGTACAGATAGATTTAGTTAACCAAACTAATTACACATCTAGTAATGATAAAGTAGAGAAGGAGGATAATGTACACATAGATTTAGTTAACCAAACTAATTACACATCTAGTAAGTATAAAGTAGAGAATGAGGATAATGTACAGATAGATTTAGTTAACCAAACTAATTATGCATCTAGTACAGATACATTCACATGCCCGTACCTCAAAAGATCAATATAAGAAGATAATTTAAACCATTTACTAATTTTAGTCCCTCGTTTACACTATGACAGGTGACCAAAATTATGGGACTCAAGTTTTTTTGCAGATTTCTCAATTATCGTTATGTATTAACAAATTAATCATTCCCCTTGCCCCCCCCCCCCTTTTTGGAATGGCTTGCGCTATATCTAATTGCCTTTGATATATCTAATGGCTAGTGATATATCTAATGGCTGGTGCTATATCTAATTGCCATTGATATATATAATGGCTAGTGCTATATCTAATTTCCATTGATATATCTAATGGCCCGTGATATATCTAATGGCCTGTGATATAACTAATGGCTAGTTATATATCTAATTCCCATTGATATATCTAATGGCTGGGGGTATATCTAAATGCCATTGATATATCTAATGGTTAGCACTATATCTAATTGCCATTGAAATATCTAATGGCTAGCACTATATCTAAATGCCATTGATATATCTAATGGCTATCTAATGGCCAGTGATATATATAATGGCCAGTGATATATCTAATGGCCAGTGATATATATAATGGCTAGTGCTATATCTAATTGCCATTGATATATCTAATGGTTAGCACTATATCTAATTGCCATTGATATATCTAATGGCTAGTGATATATCTAAACGCTAGTGATATATCTAAACGCTAGTGATATATCTAATGGCCAGTGATATATCTAATGGCCATTGATATATCTAATGGCCAGTGATATATCTAAACGCTAGTGCTATATCTAATGGCTAGTGATATATCTAATGGCCAGTGATATATCTAATGGCCATTGATATATCTAATGGCCAGTGATATATCTAATGGCCTGTGATATATCTAATGGCCAGTGATATATCTAATGGCCAGTGATATATCTAATGGCCAGTGATATATCTAATGGCCAGTGATATATCTAATGGCCAGTGATATATCTAATGGCCAGTGATATATCTAATGGCCAGTGATATATCTAATGGCCAGTGATATATCTAATGGCCAGTGATATATCTAATGGCCAGTGATATATCTAATGGCCAGTGATATATCTAATGGCCAGTGATATATCTAATGGCCAGTGATATATCTAATGGCCAGTGATATATCTAATGGCCAGTGATATATCTAATGGCCAGTGATATATCTAATGGCCAGTGATATATCTAATGGCCAGTGATATATCTAATGGCCAGTGATATATCTAATGGCCAGTGATATATCTAATGGCCAGTGATATATCTAATGGCCAGTGATATATCTAATGGCCAGTGATATATCTAATGGCCAGTGATATATCTAATGGCTAGTGCTATATCTAATTGCCATTGATATATCTAATGGCCAGTGATATATCTAAACGCTAGTGCTATATCTAATGGCTAGTGATATATCTAATGGCCAGTGATATATCTAATGGCCAGTGATATATCTAATGGCCAGTGATATATCTAATGGCCAGTGATATATCTAATGGCCAGTGATATATCTAATGGCCAGTGATATATCTAATGGCCAGTGATATATCTAATGGCCAGTGATATATCTAATGGCCAGTGATATATCTAATGGCCAGTGATATATCTAATGGCCAGTGATATATCTAATGGCCAGTGATATATCTAATGGCCAGTGATATATCTAATGGCCTGTGATATATCTAATGGCCTGTGATATAACTAATGGCCAGTGATATATCTAATTGCCATTGATATATCTAATGGCTAGTGATATATCTAATGGCTAGCGCTATATCTAATTGCCATTGATATATCTAATGGTTAGCACTATATCTAATTGCCATTGATATATCTAATGGCTAGTGATATATCTAATGGCTAGCGCTATATCTAATTGCCATTGATATATCTAATGGCTAGTGATATATCTAATGGCTAGCGCTATATCTAATTGCCATTGATGTATCTAATTGCTAGTGATATATCTAATGGCTAGTGATATATATAATGGCCATTGATATATCTAACGGCCAGTGATATATCTAATGACCAGTGATATATCTAATGGCCAGTGATATATCTAATGGCCAGTGATATAACTAATGGCTAGTGCTATATCTAATGGCTAGTGATATATCTAATGGCTAGTGATATATCTAATCGCCAGTGATATATCTAATGCTAGTGCTTTAACTAATGGCTAGTGCTATATCTAATGATAACACAATGGAGAAAATACTGGAATTTAAGACTCCAGGAATGAAATGGTAGCAAATTGATTTTATTTTGCATTTTCATAAAAATTCTTGATCTTGTGATAAAACAATCTTGTATTTGTTTCCTTTTCATATAGGGTTGTGAAATTAATTCAATTTCTTTTTACTTTAGCTTGCCAGATACACACTAAAATGAAAAATAAATAATCTATAGCTTCTCATGAAATGAAAACTCATGTAAGATCATCTATATTTGACTATTTCTGACTATAATTTACTTGGATTATAATAAACTCAGTCAATTGTAACTAAGACAGAATTATTTATATGGTTTCCAGCATAGATTTTGAGAAGAAAAAAGAGCTGGTGCCCGAAAGGAAATTTACTATTTCTACCAAATAGATTTATATGTGTGTTTGTTGTAAACTTCAGGGGACCCGTTTTCATTATCAACCAATCCTGCCCTGCGTAGAAAACAGCCAAACGTAGGACCACAGTCACACAGGGAGAATATAGATATAGAGGATCACAGCCTAGGAGGGGCGCCGCCTATAAGCATTCAGTGGAAACGCATACTGTTACTGATCATAGCAATAACCATACACAACATTCCAGGTAAGGGTGCGTGTTAACTATGGAGAACGTTCCAGGTAAGGGTGCGTGTTAACTATGGAGAACGTTCCAGGTAAGGGTGCGTTTTAACTATGGAGAACGTTCCAGGTAAGTGTCTGAATCTAGTGTGTACACAACTTCCTCGTGTTTGAGTGTGAAAAATATATCCAGCTTGCATACCAAATTTGATAAAAGTGTTTTTTGGACTGATGTATTTTTGAAGACTGTTTAAAATAAATTACATTTTAGACACTTTCATTTTTATCAATAAAAATTCTAACAAATTTACCTTCAGTAGGTAGAGTTATGTCCCCTTGACCAGTAAGCTTGTGTTGTCATTACAGAAGGCCTAGCTGTAGGAGTAGGATTTGGTGCTATAGGAAAATCACCTGCTGCTACATTTGAAAATGCCAGGTGAGACGAATATTAGGCAGGTGAGATAGACTGTACCCTACCCAGTTCAGATACCTTTTTTGTCCTTAAATTAGTTAAATGTTTCTCAACCTTGGTACTGTGGCAGATTTTAATTGAACATAGGATTACTGTCGTCTTCTAGCTTGAGCTAGAGGGAATTTCCCTTTAGCTCAGTGGTAGAGCATCAAACTACATGTCGGAACCTAGGGATCGAGGGTTCGATCCCTGGTGGAAGTACACTATTCTCTTTCCTGTAACAGTACCATAAATTCCTTCCCTGAAATTTATGTTATATATTACTTTTACTCTAGACCCTTTTTTATATTTTCTCATTTCTTAGTGTGTATGACATAACTGTTCATGGCAAGAAAGTGGTATAAGAAATATCTATCTTGCACCCTGTTTCACATGCGTGACGTCGTAATAACATTTGTGTGATGTCACCCGATTGGAAACATTCTGATGCAGCAATGTGGAAACCAACACCATTTTGTGGTTTCTTAATTAGCTTAACCTGGTGATAGGAATAAGAGAAAAATACTCTTTCATGCCCAAGAGTGTACTAGGATAGCAATATTCCACCATCAGGATTTTCAAATTGATGCAAAACCCTCAGCAAGTCCATGATTGATCCAAATTTGAAAACTTCTGATTTAGAATTTCCCTATCCTACACTTCTGGGTAGGAAAGAATCTAATAATCATGGATCTCCCTCTCTCTCTCTCTCTTCAGTAATTCCTCATTACACCCTGTCTCTCTCTCTCTCTCTCTCTCTCCAGTAATTCCTCATTACACCCTGTCTCTTTCTCTTTCTCTCTCTCTCTCCAGTAATACTTCATTACACCCTGTCTCTCTCTCCAGTAATTCCTCATTACACCCTGTCTCTCTCTCTTTGTCTCTTGTAATTTTCTACCTCATCCCTTCTCAAATCCATAATTTCGTACCATCCTTTATCCAAAACCAACTCACATTTTCTGTTTGATCACTTTTCCCATTGATTCCCTCTTCAGGCTATTCTTTTTCACTTTACCCATTCTCCACTCCATTCCTCTCTGTTTGCCTTCTCAAATCCCTATCAATGTTTCCTTCCAGTTCAATCATCCCCACTTAACTCATCCCTTCTTAATTCTTCTTCACACCCTTCTTCCTCTCCATTTCACATTTCCACTCCACACATGATCAGCTCCTCTCCACTTCCCGGCTGCCCCCACTCCAATCCTATTAGACAACCACTGATTGATTTGTGTTAGTACTTTTTGCCTTCCTACCCTGAATTGTATACCTTTTTCAAAACAACAAGACTACTGACCAAACTTTATATGAATGCTTGGACCTTCATTTTGCATCATTTTAGAAAATTAAAGTTGATATTAGTTTTCTATTTTCAGAAATTTAGCTATTGGAATTGGTATACAGAATTTTCCTGAGGGACTGGCAGTCAGCTTACCATTACGTGGTTCAGGCTTGTCAGTGTGGAAAAGTTTCTGGTAAGTGTGTGTAATCAAAGGACAAGATGTACTCTGGATCAATTTTAGCCCCAGATTTTCATTTGTTTGTAACTTGTTCAAGTCTACCTGCTTTGATGGATTGTGTTGTTTTTGCTAAGCTATTGAAATGTTAGATACATAGACACATTCAGACTTAGTTAGAAATGTGTTTTGACTTCATAAACAGGCAGGAAAATATTTGTTAAAAGCTTCATAATGGAAAATTGTAGAAATTGTGGGTGTATGCATGAAATATTGTTTATGAAAACATTTGTGCCCAGTTGAAATTAACAAAATAAAAATGGAAAATGGCTTAAAATGAAAAAAGAAATGTCAATTTTCCAACCATATTTATTTCGTCTAAACATAATTTTTATAACGAATATAAATAATGATGCCAAAATCATGACTTAAATCAATAATAAGAATAGTAATAAAAACAATTTTTGGCTAAATTTGATGTATAGCAGATATCTTCAATACTTGAAAGTTTTACAAGAGATGGGCAGCAGGTATTATAAAACTTAATGTATCAGCTTCAAACAACCAGAATCAACTATACATTAGTTTTATATAGACTGTATGCATGTATATAGAATAACTGTGTTAGTGATTTAGATGTTGGTTATACTTATCCTATACCACAGCACACTAATATAGAATAATTCTGTTAGTGATTTAAATGGTGGTTATACTTATCCTATACCTCAGTAAACTTTTATTTAGTAATTGCTAGTTTCATTTCTCATATCAAATTGCTTCATACATGCTTAAACTAAGCCATATTTGTATCATGGAAGCTTCTTGAACACTTTTTGTTTTGAAGGTTTTTTGTTTTAGGTCCCCTCAAGTTTCCTTAAAAAATATTTAAACGTGATTGTGGAGGGATTGAATGATTGTGTAACCTTTGACCTCTAGGTATGGCCAGCTTAGTGGGATGGTGGAGCCAATAGCGGGTCTGTTTGGCGTGGTGGCTGTGTCTATAGCGGAGCCCATCCTGCCCTATGCTTTGGCCTTTGCTGCTGGAGCCATGATATATGTAGTCGTTGATGACATCATACCCGAGGCACAAACTTGGTGAGTAAAAACTAGCTGGCTACATAGTCATGACCTTAACTTTGAATTATAAAACTTCCATCTGTTAACAATAGTGTGGCCTGCATATTTAAATATTGAACTTCTTCACATGTCTCATCTAGGTCTCAAATGTTACATTTTCTCTTGATATGTTTGACTATCTAGCTGATTCAAGAGGTAATATGAAATATTACACAATCTAAATTTTGTTGGTATAAAATTGAAGAGATATTTTTCTAGTTTCAAGCCTTCTTAGAATATGCTATAATTGATACATTAAGGAATAATCATTACATCATTGCTCCTTGTTTTTAAAATACTTATATTTTGTACAACTTTACAACTTTGTGCAACCGATCATAATAAATCTTTTGTGGATGTTTCAAAATATGTGACAGTCCGCACAATATTCCAAAAAGAGTCATTCTATAATGACAAGTAAAGAGAACCCCAACACTTGACAAGAGTTTTTATGAGACATAGTGAGGAGGCGGTCTACTGACAAAGTGTTTAAATGTTTACAACGTTTTGAAATTGCAGCATATGTTGCCTTTGTGGGGTAATCACAACATTATAGGAAAAAAGAGGTTAGTTAACCCAACATTGTATAGAAAATAAGGTAACCGTAATGTTATACATGTATAGAAAATGAGGTAACCGTAATGTTATACATGTATAGAAAATAAGGTAACCTTAATGTTAACCATGAATAGAAAATAAGGTAACCGTAATATTATACATGCATAGAAAATAAGGTAACTGTAATGTTATACATGGATAGAAAATAAGGTAACTGTAATGTTAACCATGAATAGAAAATAAGGTAACCGTAATGTTAACCATGAAAAGAAAATAAGGTAACTGTAATGTTATACATGTATAGAAAATAAGGTAACTGTAATGTAAACCATGAATAGAAAATAAGGTAACTGTAATGTTATACATGTATAGAAAATAAGGTAACCGTGATGTTATGCATGTATAGAAAATAAGGTAACTGTAATGTTATGCATGTATAGAAAATAAGGTAACTGTAATGTTATGCATGTATAGAAAATAAGGTAACTGTAATGTTATACATGGATAGAAAATAAGGTAACTGTAATGTTAACCATGTATAGAAAATAAGGTAACTGTAATGTTAACCATGTATAGAAAATAAGGTAACTGTAATGTTATACATGTATAGAAAATAAGGCAACTGTAATGTTAACCATGAATAGAAAATAAGGTAACTGTAATGTTATACATGTATAGAAAATAAGGCAACTGTAATGTTAACCATGAATAGAAAATAAGGTAACTGTAATGTTATACATGTGTAGGGAATAAGGTAACCGTAATATTATACATGTATAGAAAATAAGGTAACCGTAATGTTATACATGTATAGAAAATAAGGTAACCGTAATGTTATGCATGTATAGAAAATAAGGTAACTGTAATGTTATACATGTTTAGAAAATGAGGATGACAGAATACAATGGTGTATAGGATCACAAAGCATGTGTGAAAATATTGATATGTTTGATGGAAACCAACATTTTTTTCATTTGTTATATTTTCAAAGTTCAATGTCACAATAACATCACTGCATACAGAAAGAGTTAGAACGAGTATTGTAATATTTGGTGCTTGTTTTACTACCAAAAGCCATTTTACAATTTCATGTTTCGATCTGGTAATAATTGCATATAAAACTATTATTTATTGTTTATTTAAAACAATATTTCATTTTTGCCTTGGTTTGTTGGCCTAATGTGTGTAATGAGGTTATCTCCCCTAGAATGTTTCCAGGAGGCTACAAGAGAAGGGCCGGTGTGAGGGGTTAGAAATAATCTGGAATCAGCAGATTTATAAAATTGTAACAAAATACATTGAGATAAAGAAACATTTGTTCTTTTCCACAGAAACATATATAAGTTTACAAATCATTTACGCATGATATGTAACACACAATTACCAAAACTGGAATCTCCCCTTCCTCCTTTGTGTGCTCAGGTAAACAGTACCCAGCTAGTACCCAGTACCAGTGCCCTTGTATGTACAGAAAATAACCACAGCATACTGAAACTATTTCAGTTACGGATGATAAATAACAGATTATAGACATTCTCACACATTCTCATAATTCTCAGATATTCTTCCTGTACACAAAATGCGTAGATATTCTCACCTTTACACAAAATTATCAGATATTCAACCTGTACACAAATTATCAGATATTCCCACTTACACATAATTTGGAACCAACATTAAGATGCAGGTGCCCAATTTAAATCATTGTATCAATCTGTTTTTCACTTTCCGCACTATATCTTATAAAGTAATGACGAAGTTTTGATCAAACATGCATGGCTGGTGTGCTAATAACCCAAGTCTCTCACTCCGGTTGAAATGTTTGACAGATTCTATGCATATTTAAAGTGGTTGCTGGGCTCCGGTTGGATGATTTATTTCCACACTATATGAGTATAAAACAGAGATAAGGTTTGTGTGTCAGTGTTGGAGTATAAAACAAAGATAAGGCATATCTGTCAGTGTTGGAGTATAAAACAGGGATAAGGTTTGTGTGTCTGTGTTGGAGTATAAAACAGATAAGGTTTGTGTGTCAGAGTATAAAACAGGAATAAGGTTTGTCTGTCTGTGGTGGGGTCTAAAACGGAGATAAATGTACCAGGTTTTGTGTCAGTGTTGGAGTATAAATAGAGATAAATGTACCATGTTTTGTGTCAGTGTTGGAGTATAAAACAGAGATAAATGTACCATGTTTTGTGTCAGTGTTGAGTATAAAACAGGAATAAGTTTTGTGTGTCTGTGTTGGAGTATAAAACAGGAATAAGGTTTGTCTGTCAGTGTTGGAGTATAAAACAGAGATAAATGTACCATGTTTTGTGTCAGTGTTGGAGTATAAAACAGAGATAAATGTACCATGTTTTGTGTCAGTGTTGGAGTATAAAACAGGGATTAGGTTTGTCTGTCAGTGTTGGAGTATGAAACAGAGATAAGGTTTATGTGTCTGTGTTGGGGTATAAAACAGAGATAAGGTTTGTGTGTCTGTGTTGGAGTATAAAACAGGAATAAGGTTTGTGTGTCAGTGTTGGGGTATAAAACAGGGATAAGGTTTGTGTGTCAGTGTTGGAGTATAAAACAGAGATAAGGCATATCTGTCTGTGTTGGAGTTTAAAACAGGGATAAGGTTTGTGTGTCAGTGTTGGAGTATAAAACAGAGATAAGGTTTGTGTGTCTGTGTTAGAGTATAAAACAGGAATAAGGTTTGTGTGTCTGTGTTGGAGTATGAAACAGGAATAAGGTTTGTGTGTCAGTGTCGGGGTATAAAACAGAGATAAGGTTTGTGCGTCTGTGTTGGAGTATAAAACAGGAATAAGGTTTGTGTGTCAGTGTTGGAGTATAAAACAGAGATGAGGTTTGTGTGTCAGTGTTGGGGTATAAAACAGGAATAAGGTTTGTGTGTCAGTGTTGGGGTATAAAACAGAGATAAGGTTTGTGTGTCAGTGTTGGAGTATAAAACAAAGATAAGGCATATCTGTCAGTGTTGGAGTATAAAACAGGGATAAGGTTTGTGTGTCTGTGTTGGAGTATAAAACAGATAAGGTTTGTGTGTCAGAGTTGGAGTATAAAACAGGAATAAGGTTTGTCTGTCTGTGGTGGGGTCTAAAACAGAGATAAATGTACCAGGTTTTGTGTCAGTGTTGGAGTATAAATAGAGATAAATGTACCATGTTTTGTGTCAGTGTTGGAGTATAAAACAGAGATAAATGTACCATGTTTTGTGTCAGTGTTGAGTATAAAACAGGAATAAGTTTTGTGTGTCTGTGTTGGAGTATAAAACAGGAATAAGGTTTGTCTGTCAGTGTTGGAGTATAAAACAGAGATAAATGTACCATGTTTTGTGTCAGTGTTGGAGTATAAAACAGAGATAAATGTACCATGTTTTGTGTCAGTGTTGGAGTATAAAACAGAGATAAATGTACCATGTTTTGTGTCAGTGTTGGAGTATAAAACAGAGATAAATGTACCATGTTTTGTGTCAGTGTTGGAGTATAAAACAGAGATAAATGTACCATGTTTTGTGTCAGTGTTGGAGTATAAAACAGAGATAAATGTACCATGTTTTGTGTCAGTGTTGGAGTATAAAACAGAGATAAATGTACCATGTTTTGTGTCAGTGTTGGAGTATAAAACAGAGATAAATGTACCATGTTTTGTGTCAGTGTTGGAGTATAAAACAGAGATAAATGTACCATGTTTTGTGTCAGTGTTGGAGTATAAAACAGAGATAAATGTACCAGGTTTTGTGTCAGTGTTGGAGTATTAAACAGAGATAAATGTACCATGTTTTGTGTCAGTGTTGGAGTATAAAACAGAGATAAATGTACCATGTTTTGTGTCAGTGTTGGAGTATAAAACAGAGATAAATGTACCAGGTTTTGTGTCAGTGTTGTAGTATAAACCAGAGATAAATGTACCAGGTTTTGTGACAGTTTGGTTTGTTTCCAGTACACTATTGCTTTTGATTTCAAAAAGGTATTGTCTTAAAAAAAAATGCTCTTAAGGATACTGTCTTATCATTTTTATTTGCCCGTCAAATTTGACAGAAGTATTATGGTATGGGGTTTTCCGTCCATCCTGCATAAACTTTTGTTTGTCCGGCAATCCCCTAATACATTTGACTTTTGTTTTTAGATGGATTTCTTTGAAACTTAATAGGCTAAATAATCATGATATGTTATTGTGTTTCCTTGAAACGAATTTTGATTCAATAAATTTTTGCAAAACTTATTGCCCTTTGTTTATTTCAGTATTTGATTTTTGTCCGGCAATCTCCTTCTACATTTGTCAATGGATCTCTTTGAAACTTGGTATATATTATAATCATGATATGAAGTTGTGTCTCCCTTAAAATCATTTTGATTCAACGATTTTTGCAAAAGTTATTGCCCTTTGTTCATTTCAGTATTCGATTTTTGTCCAGAGATTTTCTCCTACATTTTTGTGTCGCCTGCGAAAAGCTGGTGACACATAGGTATTGCTATGTCGGCACAGAGGTTTTCGTGTGATAACTTGAGTTTCCGATTAAACTCAACCTTCATGCAGTGCTTCCTTACCAAAGTGCTTGCTTGGGATTGCATTTCAGGTCCGAAGGTCCAAGGTCACTGTTACTATAAATAGAAAATCTGTTTTCATGCGATAACTTTATTTTCCTTGGTCCGATCAAACTTAAACTTCATGCAGTGCTTCCTTACCAAAAGTGCTTGCTGTGGATTGCTTTTCAGGTCCGAAGGTCAAAGGTCAAGGTCACTGGCTTTGATCTACGACTTGACCCACCATGTATACCTCTGAAATGGCGTCTTACTCCAAATGTTATTGACAACACTAGCTGTTTAACATCATAATCCACAAGTTTATTCATTTATTTATGGGAAACCATCCGACAAATCATAAAAATTAAACTTGGAATTGAGACAATGAGTATCCATAGCAAGTTCCTGAAATCTCCGAGTATTCTTCCCAGAATAACAGATTATATAACAAAATGATGCCATCCAAAAACATAATCTATGAATATTGCTTATTTTTAACATTATTTCTTGAAATGAAAAGTGTATCTATTTCTTCGTAATCTCCCAGCTTCCTGCGCAGGCGACACATCCACTTCCGTGGAATTCTTGTTTATAGCATGTCAGCTTTCCACTCTTAGAATGATGCAGGGAGATCTTATTTCAATGTAAGAAAGTATATAACACTATATGGTATTTGATGGGCGTATATTGTTCCGCCCCGTGGTACTCCTGTTTGAATACTTACAGGTAACTTATTTTTTCTATTGGGAATATTTGACAGAATAGAGATGTAGTTTTAAAAATCTTCTATATATATAACCTACCCCCCTATATATTTGTAGAAATATACTCGGTGGATATATTTGAATACTGATGAATAAATTGATAGGATTGAGTATATACAGGTGTGCTTAGACCCACGTATTGAGGAACATTTCACTTAACAAGTACCACCTGGCTCTGGAAAATATCAAGTACCGGAGAAATACATATGGAATTTTAAAATCATTGAAATGCTTTTTTCAAAATACTGCATCTTAAGAATGAACCACTGAAACTGTCTCATTATAATTATGAGTGGAAGTGTTTAGAGGATTTGCAGTGTGGCCCAGCTTCCTGTGTAAGTGTGGTAGAGAGAGTCCTGAGAACATTCCCTACATTCCTCTAATGTGTGGCTGACAGTCAGCCCACAATACTTCCTGTCCTAAAACCTGGCCAGGAATGGAAGGCAGTGGGTGGGGGTGGCATTTGTGACTGGTACTGCTTTCAATAGCAACACACCTACAGCTATACTCATATGTATTGTAAAATTATGTACAATGTTTATGCTCATATACAAATATTTATCAAAAAAATGTACAGTTACTTACATACATGTTCAAAATGGTTTAACACATTATTATTACATTACAGTGCAGTTACACATATGTAGAGTGAGTAATACATATGTACTGTTAGTTACATACATGTTTAAAGTTGTTTGAAATATACATGCTGTTACATGATATAGTATATTAGTCAGTTATATTACACATGTACATTCGGTTACTCACATCTTCAGTGAGTTACACATGTGACATATACACTTATGTACATTTAGTTACACATGTGTACAGTTTGTTACACAGATGTGCAGTTAGTTACATACATGTACAATTAGTTACATGCATGTATAGTGAGTTCATACATGTACAGATAGTTACACATATGTATAGTTGTTTACATACATTTACAGTTAGTTACACACATGAACAGTTAGTTACACACATGTAATAGTAGTTACACATACACATTAACAATAAGTTACATGCATGTACAGTTAGTTACAGACATGTACAGTTAGTTACACACATGTACAGTTGGTACACACATGGGCAGTAAGTACATACATGTACAGTTAGTTACAGACATGTACAGTTAGTTACACACATGTACAGTTAGTTACACACATGTGCAGTTGGTACACACATGGGCAGTAAGTACATACATGTACAGTTAGTTACACACATGTAAAAGTAGTTGATTATATATACAATGAGTTTCATTCATGAACAGTTTTAGTTTCACATATAGACAGGTACACACATGCAGTTTGTACAGCTACAGTTTGCACAGCATACATCTGTACAGTTACACAAATGTGTAGTTATTCACTACACGTAATGTATCACTCCCTGTTCTCTTATCAAACCTAATAATATGACTGGGTGGACATGAGAGGGCACTTTAGAGTTGTCCTTGAGTATTCATTTTTGGGTGATCTGTTGCTAGGCATAACTCTAAGAAAACAAATGAACAATTAAATGTCACTCCATGTAATATGTTACTGTCTATGGCATATCACTCTATGTACTGTGCCATAGTCTTCATCCAGTGCATCACTCCCTGTAATATGTCACTCCAGGTTATGTGTCACAGTCTACATCCAGTGCATCACTCCCAGTAGTATGTCACTCCAGGTTATATGTCACAGTCTACATCCAGTGTATCACTCCCTGTAATATGTCACTCTAGGTTATATGTCACAGACTACATCCAGTGCATAACTCCCAGTAATATGTCACTCCAAGTTATGTGTCACAGTCTACATCCAGTGCACCACTTCCAGTGATATGTCACTCCATGTAATGTGTCACAGTCTACATCCAGTGCATCACTCCCAGAAATATGTCACTCCAGGTTATATGTCACAGTCTACATCCAGTGTATCACTCCCAGTAATATGTAACTCCAGGTTATATGTCACAATCTACATCCAGTGCATCAATCCCAGTAATATGTAACTCCATGTAATGTGTCACAGTCTAAATCCAGTGCATCACTCCCTGTAATATGTCACTCCATGTAATGTGTCACAGTCTACATCCAGTGCATCACTCCCTGTAATATGTCACTCTATGTAATATGTCACAGTCTACATCCAGTGCATCACTCCCAGTAATATGTCACTCCAGGTTATATGTCACAGTCTACATCCAGTGCATCACTCCCGGTAATATGTAACTCACGGTTATATGTCACAGTCTACATCCAGTGCATCACTTCCAGTAATATGTCACTCCAAGTTATGTTTCACAGTCTACATCCAGTGCATCACTCCCAGTAATATGTCACTCCAAGTAATCTGTCACAGTGTACATCCAGTGCATCACTCCCAGTAATATGTCACTCCAGGTTATATTTCACAGTCTACATCCAGTGCATCACTCCCAGTAATATGTCACTCCAGGTTATATGTCACAGTCTACATCCAGTGCATCACTCCCTGTAATATGTCACTCCAGGTTATATGTCACAGTCTACATCCAGTTCATCACTCCCAGAAATATGTCACTCCAGGTTATATGTCACAGTCTACATCCAGTGTATCACTCCCAGTAATATGTAACTCACAGTTATATGTCACAGTCTACATCCACTGCATCACTCCCAGCAATATGTCACTCCATGTAATGTGTCACTATATGAAATATGTCACTTCATGTAATATGTCACTTTATAAAATATATCACTCCATGTGATGTGTCACTTTATGAAATATGTCACTCCATGTAATGTGTCAGTATATGAAATTTGTCACACCATGTTATGTCACTATATTAAATATGTTACTCCATGTAATGAGTCACTATATGAAATTTGTCAATCCATGTAATGTGTCACTATATGTAGTGTGTCACCCCTTTAAATATATCACATGCTGCACTGTTTTATACCATGTAGTATGTCACAGACTGTCACTACATTTATCAGATCCAAATAATTATGTTAGATATTGACATAGTTTATGTTCCCTGGATCAGATTCCTAAAACATCTTTTAGTGCAACATTAGTCCTAAACCAAGTTGAATTCAAACTTTCAAATATCAAGTTCTGTAAACATGCAGTATAATCTGTCTAAACTGGCCCCTGTCTAATCCAGATCCCTGTCTAACTGGCTTTGATTTGTGGTCCCGGCATATTTCCTATATAATCATCGTATTTAAACCCTGTATAAACCGAACCCTGTCCATTCTGAAAACCAGCATTGTTTCACAAAATTGGCATAGTAATCCATGTAAAAACAACCTGTTTATTCCAGTCCTTAAATTTCTCTCAGCCGGCTACAATCTAAACAAAAAAGTACTATCCAATGTCGGGTCGGTCTTCATTTGTATTATATACCGTATATTTTGTAAGTTATTAAATGTGTAATTGATTCATTTCTCTGTTGTTTATGTTGACACACTTGTATACAAGTTGTTTGCAAAACACTAAATTTTTGTTTTTTCATAAAATGACATGCCGACCCTGTATAAACCGGACACCTGTGTAAACTGGCGAAATAGTTTGGTCCTGGTGACATTCAGTTTAGACAGGTTATACTGTACTATTTGTAAATGACAGTAGGTTAATTTGTTCTGTCTTTTATTTTCAGTGGGAACGGCCGTCTATCAACCTGGGGAGCCATCGTAGGCTTTGTGGTTATGATGTCATTAGATGTTGGTTTAGGATGAAATGTAAGTGTTTATTGTTATCAAGTTGTCCACCTGTCCTTCTGTCTGTGTACATAGCTTTTTGACTTCTACTAGTCCCACAATCTGCGGAGATGTGGTGCGTGTGATGAGAATCGTATGGAATCGTGTATGATAACATGGGAATGCTGTGTTAAACTTTATGATAGCTACGACCCTTCTTTACTGCTCCAACACATTGGAACCTTATGGCATGATTTGGTGAAAAAAAATGGCAAAGGGAGACAATCACAACAATACCTTACAAAAAACAAAAGTGTCATGTGTTTTTCTTGGCCAGTAGAAAGACGTTTTCCAATTTCAAGACAATGTAACTTTTCTGAATAATAAAAAATCAATATATCGGTGTATTTCCTTACAAAAATGCATCAGAAGAGTTCTAATAACAATTTACAGTTTATTAAAAAATAAATAGAAATTCCTTTAAATTCCATTTGAAAGCACTACTTCAGCTAAAATATCGTAATCAGTTAGTGTTATAGCATTTTTGGTTACAATATTTTAATATTTTGATAACTTTTGTGACAAGAGAGCATCAGAAAGGTTTGAAGTATAATACTTTACACTGTATTCATAAAATCATTTCAATTCTTCAAATTCAGTTTTTAGCTCACCTGCCCGAAGGGCAAGTGAGCTTATGTCATGGTGCGTCGTCCGTCCGTCGTCGTCCGTCAACTTTTCCTTTTAACAACTTCTTCTGAAGAATGGACAGGCCTAGAGTCATGATATTTGGGTGATAGCTTCGTTGGTTGGAGCCTGACAAAGTTTGAGAATGAAAATTACCTTGACCTACTTTCAAGGTCACAGGGGTCAAATGTGTCAAACTCTTCAAACGACTTCTTCTGAAAGACTATCTTTTTGGGATAGAGCTCACAAAGTATGAGAAGGAAAATGGCATTGACCTACTTACAAAGTCACAGGGAAAAATATGTCAATTAACTTCTGAAGAAGAACCAAAAAGCATAGATTCTTATAATAATATTTGGCTGGTAGTTTCAACAGATGGAGACGACAAAGTTTGCGAGGGAAATATTTGTAGTGCAATATAATATTGAATGAGAATATTTTGCTATGACTGCTTAAATATTCAGGTGAGCAATATAGGCCCTCTGGGCCTCTTGTTATTATTAAAAACTTACATTTTAAAATACCAGAATCATTACATGATATTTCAGTTTCTTCTCAAGTTAGACTCATTGAAACTACCAAATGTAACCTGTTTCATTTGCACATGAATTGAGTTGGTCTTGAAACAAAATCAACATGAACTGACCAATTCAATTCATCACCCCAAGAGATCAACTAAAGCAAGATTCAATCCTTAAATGAAAAAAACACAACATCTAATTGTCACAGTGACATTTATTTCAATTTCACTATTACATAGGCATTGTATTTGTTGAAATGGGTGGTGAACATGTATGTAGGTTTTTGTTTTATTGGTTAATAAGCACACAACAGAACTTGTATGTAAGATCTTGTTTCTATGGGGAAATAAACACACAGGTATATGAACATAATTATATCCTCTGCAAACTAAGTCTGAGGGTGTATATAGTGATCACTCTTTCTGTCCGACTGTCTGTTTGTTGGATGTTTAGTAATTTTAAAGGGACATCAGGTGAAGAGCCATTTTTTTTTTAATGAATGTATGTATTGTATGCACTTCCACTTTTGTTACCTCGCTATCCCCATATTCATACTCCGTTCCAAATGTCCAGTTTGACCACTTGAATTGTTCGGGAAAGCCCTGCTAAAAATAGCGCTGATAACCTCACCTGACTAGGCAGTAAACACAAGTGGTGTGAGCGAGATGAAAAGGTTTCCAAAGGGGTCCCCAGAGAGGGGCCGTCAGGCGACTGCAACTTCTTACCGCACTATGAAACCAAGTAATATGATTTCTAAGTCCATATTCAAACTTATTGAACATTAATTATTCATCATCAGAAGTTAATTGCGCACTTGCCAATATTCAGAATTTAAATGTATTTAGCTTTAAACATATATTTGTTGCCAATAAAATTGAACGAGGGATGGGGGCACAAGTTTTTACAATTTATCACAGCCTTCTCCCGTCATACATTTACAATTAAATGTCAACAATGATAATAGGCATACACATAAAGTAGATATATATAAATACATATTGAATTTAGTACAGTACCAGAATGTGACCGGTACAGATGGTACGGGGCTAAACACCTTCCCTCAACCATGGGTCAAACCTTTCTGTAAAAAGGAATATTCATGAGACTAATATCCCTTTTCAAATATTTACATAAAGTGCATTTATGCAATGACAAACTAAACGCGAATAGAAAAGGAAACGTTTGTGAATTTATTTATTACATTATACAACTCAATGACTTCGGCCATTTTTTTTCTTCTAGACCATGCATATAAATGTATACTCTCTTTCCCACTTTCACTGTCTCCATACGCTAACACTTAGTAAGTCATATTAGCCATCACACACAATAAACTGTATGGCAAAACCACTACATGCACATGTAGAATATGTGTCAATAAGGAACGTGTTGAGATACTTGATAATTATATATTTTTTCAATACTTTACAGAGATTAAAGAATACTTGTAAATGGACCTTTTTATGTTGAGACAATTTTTCTTTAATCAGTTCCTTTTGTCCGAAACAGAAGCCGTAGTTATCGGTAGCATGCGCCATTTTTATAACGTAATCAAATATTTTTTCCTCTGTTTTCAATACGTATTCCGATTCTATCTGAAGTTGAAAATGAATTCTTTCTAGAGAAAAGGTTGTTACATGATCATACATTCTAAGTCAACATCATAGGAAAACATGAACTGTTGATTAATTACGATTTAAAAAAAAAAATGTTATGCAATCCTATTTACCGGTACTAGAAGTAGGTTCTCCTTCCTCAGTTATTCATCCTGGTCCGTCATTTTGACATTTTTAATCTAGCTGCGATAACGTAGCTTTCTGGTGAAGAGCGATTTTTTTTATATATTGCGTCGTCGCACCAGAGGAGGCTGGGTATTCATATTAGTACTAATTTAAATCTTACATGTCAAAACAAAAAAAATCATTTAATTCAGCAATATAATTAAATCATACCATTTTACTGATCCCGGTAATATTATAAATTATGTAAATCTAATAGCGCACGTATCTCATTTGACTTGGAGGGCCTTGTGGCAAAATCAAACTAACTAGGCACTTCATGCAGTGCTTCCTTACCAAAGGTGCTTGCTTGGGATTGCTATTCAGGTCCAAAGGTCAAAGGTCAAGGTCACTGTTACTATAAATAGAAAATCTGTTTTCGTGCGATAACTTGAGTTTCCTTGGGCCGATCAAACTCAAACTTGATGCTGTGCTTCCTTACCAAAAGTGCTTGCTTGGGATTGCTTTTCAAGTCCGAAGGTCAAAGGTCAAGGTCACTGTCACTATAAATAGAAAATCTGTTTTCGTGTGATAACTTGAGTTTCCTTGGGTCGATCAACCTCAAACTTCATGTAGTGCTTCCTTACCAAAACTGCTTGCTTGGGATTGCTTTTCAAGTCCAAAGGTCAAAGGTCAAGGTCACTGTTACTACAAATAGAAACTTCACTAAAACTGTATACAGGACGGCTTCGATCTACCACTTGACCCACCGTGTATACCTCTGAAATGCCATCTTACTCCAAATGTTATTGACAACACTAGCTGTTTAACATCTTAATCCACAAGTTTATTCATTTAATTATGGGAAACCATCCGACAAATCATACAAATTAAACTTGGAGTATCCATAGCAAGTTCCTTAAAACTCAGAGTATTCTTCACAGAATAACAGATTATATAACAAAATGATGCCATCCAAAAACATAATCTATGATTATTGCTTTCTTTTAACATTATTTCTTGAAATGAAAAGTGTAACTTTTTCTTCGTAATCTCCCAGCTTCCTGTGCAGGCGACACATCCACTTCCGTGGAATTCTTGTCTTTCGCTTACTTCACACAGCCAGTCATTTAGTTTACAAAGAAATGGTGTGCTAGTAGAGGGAAATCCCTGAACAAAACGTTGGTCAGACAGGTTGAAATACCGATGATTATCTTAGACTTAATCATTTTTATGAATCTATTTCAGCCAAATCCGATCGTCATTTTCCATAAGGAGTCTCACTTGATATGTTTATGTGGTATTTGAAAAAAAGACACAAAAGAGTTACTTCAGCGTGATGCCCCTTTAATTGGTAAAGTGAGAGTGCATTATATGTAGATGAGCAAGAAGGAAGGAATGTGTGATTTGACTATTTTATTGGGAGTTATGGCCCTTGAAACTTTAATTTCTTTTCAACAAACCTTGTAAGCGCAAATCCTCCTGAACTATTTGTTTATTTTTATGTTACTTGGCACAGGGAAAGTACATCATGTAAAGATGTGCATGAAGAATAGAATTTGCTAATTTTTCAATAATTTGGCACAGTGAAAGCAAATCATATGTAGATGTGCATAAGGAAAGGGGTTTGCAATTTTATTAGTTTTCAGGGAGTTATGGACCTTGAAACTTAAATTTCTGCTCCAGAAACTTTCTAAGCAAAACTCCTCCTTAACAATATTTCGTTTTTTTCGTAACTTGGCACAGGTGAGGAACAACATTTGTAGATATGCATCAAGAAAGGGATTTGTGATTGGGGTATTATACCCCCTGCAATCGAAGTTTGAAGAATATATAGATAAAATGAATCGGGGACATGTCTTTGTGAGCTCGCTCATCGTTTCTCTAGCTATGTAGTTCATTAGTTGTTTCTACAGAATCTATATGTTGACCATGTTTGTGTGGATTATAAATTGTACACATCATAGGGTTTAAAGGGCTTGTCAAAAGAAACTGTAGATTTTATGGGGTAATATAGTTTATCAGTGGAAGGTGAACATGGTAAGGGTTATAGGTTTTATTTGACAGTTGCACACAAAATATTCATAGTTCTTGTAAATATACAAGTTTATAACATTTG